ATTCGGAGTAAGAATCGGAGTCGGAGGTGGAATCAGATTCGGAGTAAGAATCGGAGTCGGAGGTGGAATCATATTCGGAGTTAGAATCGGAGTCGGAGTTGGAATCAGATTCGGAGTAAGAATCGGAGTCGGAGGTGGAATCAGATTCCGAGTTAGAATCGAAGTCGGAGTTGGAATCGGATTCGGAGTAAGAATCGGAGTCGGAGGTGGAATCAGATTCGGAGTCGGAATCGGAGTCGGAGTCGGAGTCGGAGTCGGAGTCGGAGTCGGAGTCGGAGTCGGAGTCGGAAGCAGCTTATGACGAAGTGAAAACCAGAAAACGGAGTTGGAATGTTTTTTATTTTTTATTTTTATTTCAATCTTTATGTAACGTATGTCCCTCATTCAGAGTCGTAAGCACTTCAGAAGCGGAATCGAAAGGATTGGGAGTTTTTTTTGCCTGGCTCATGCTTATGCTTTTGATGAGCGGTTGTCACTTGTTATAAGTCAAGCATGGAACGGTTTACGATTCCGTCGCAAAGCGAAAACCAGGCTTATAGCGATTTCATTGAACTTTAAGTTATGAACATATTGATATCCATCGGTGATCGCTAAAATTTTTACGTACTGTTTAATAAACTCGCAGGAGTGTTTCATCAGGATTTAAAAACACACAACGGTTTAGAAAACTGATGATGTATGTTCTCATAATATACTGAATTCTTTACGAAATGAACCAAGTTTGATAGAGAAAATCCAAGTTAAAGTTTATGCAAATGAAGACGAATCTTTATCAGATATAAAATCACCTTCGTGGTCATGATTTCTATTGTGCTTCCTTCATGAATTATTAATGAGTTTTTTTCAATCCAAACAAAACAAAAACAAAAAGAAAGAAAGATCTAGAAAGAAAAGAAAGAAAAAACATTTGAAGAGCGCGCGCATGAAGACAGCCAATCAGATTCAAGCAAATGACGCAATTAATCGTAATGCGCGCGACTTAATTATGACGACACAATGCGTGGAAAATCTTGACTTCAAACACTTTCCATGCACATGAACAACAAAGCACTAGCGATTAGTCAACCTTGGAAGAAGCCGTTAGGTGTCGTTCACGGAAGCCCAAAAAATTGAAAGGCAAGTCTGAGCTCTTGTTCTTCTTACTTTTATACTTTGTCACGAATTTGACAACGTTTTCAACGGACAAAGCAAAACAAGCAGCGTCACCGAACGGTCGCTATCAATACAGTTATTTTTCTTTGGCATTTATAGCATTGTATAACTTGTTGTCAAAGCTCTGATGGAATATAGACCCATTCAGTTTGGGCGAAATGTTTTACCATTTCAGACCACGTTTCATTCTTTGTATCATTTCTTTGTTTAACGGTTGCGCATGAAAATGGATACAACGGAAAACCAAGAATCTTATTCTCAAGAAAACACGTGGTTTTAAATGGGAAAACATTAGAGGTCTAATGATAAGACGTAATATTTCAAACACGCGAGAGAGTTCTTCCTCCGATTTCCAGACACCGAAAAGTAAGTTGAAAAAACGAGGCGCAGCCGAGTTTTTTTAACTGACTTTGAGGTGTTTGGAAATCGGAGGTAGAACTCTCTCAAGTGTTTGATATTACTTCTCAAACTAATGAATATTTCTTGGAGAAAATCAAAGAAAAAGTTTACAAAATTTAATGCAAATTAAGAAAATTTTTCCAAACCACCGTCACAGTAGTGATTTGCTTTGTTTTCTCCTCATTAAATATTCATGAGTATGAGAAACACATATAACATATATATATGTACCAGTAGTTTGCAGATGGTTGTATTGTTCGGGTGTTCGATCTGCGTCACGAGGTGTAGTGGTGTTGTTTTGGATAATGATCCACAAAGATTGACATCAATCTTAGGAGACTGCAACAACATCTAGAATATAAAAGATACGTATAATCAGTATGCAAGAAAGTATCTAGACATTGATGGATGTCGTTATTCTTTTTGCGTAAGATCAAGTATAGTATGGTGTTTTTAAATGCAATGAGACAATGATTGCTATCAATTGCATTTCATATTTTATTTTCGATTCCCATTTAGTCAGTGAACAATAAGAGAAAAAAATATTTATAGGACCGAAGCAGTAGTGGAATTATAAATAGGCAGAAAAGCCAGACAGACAGACACAAACAGACGAGCGTACAGAAGCGAAAGAAAGAGACAGACAGCCAACCAACCAAACGAATGGACGGACGGTTGGACAGACAGACAGACAGACAGACAGACAGACATACTTACATTAACGAGAGCCACGTTCCCTGTTCTCACTGCGGCGTGTAACGGTGTTTCTCCTCGATCATCCAGTACATTAACATTAACCTTGCGATCGAGTAGAAAAGACACTGCCTCGTTGTTTTGTGACGTAGCCGCACAGTGTAGGGGGGTCTTGCCGTACTCATCAGGGATATTCACATCTAAAAGGTTTAATGCATATAGTTACTAAACGTCTGTACCAAAGGGAGGGATTAGGGGGGGAGGAGGAGGGGGGAGGCGCATGGCTAGTCTGTGATACACCTAGGAGAGAAGACACTTGGAGTAACTTTACATTAAAATAACTTAATTCTTTAATTTTTTGGCATGGAAAATTCAAAAAAGTGTAGAACAACTGCTTTTGCTGCCTGTGGAAGTAATACACTCGAAACAGAGACAGGGAAAAGACCAGTTTCGAATTCCAAATTACTGCTGTGTTCCTTGATTACAGACTCATTTGCACAGGGTTAGCCTCGAATCAGTGTTTAAATATTCACAAATACCAACAGAAAAGTAAAGAATGCACAACTTCAACAATACAAACATTTTGAAACTCGGAACTGGAACACGTGAATATTCTGCACAAACTCGAGGCTAACCCTGTGCAAATGAGTCTGTAATCAAGAAACACAGCGGTAATTTGGAATTCGAAAGGGGTCTATTGAACCTAACAAGGCTAATTAGTTTGTACTCTATGGCAGTGACTTACCATCAGAAATACCAAACTTCTTGATTTCACTGATGTCTAGACCTTGAACTATAGCCGCACTTAGCATGTAAGCACGTGACTTTGAAAGACAAATAATGAAGTTAATAAAAATCATTTTTTAAAATGATGGAACTTAAATAGGGTTAACGCCTAAAATAGGAATCTTTGAAACTGCGCAAGTAATACAGTTGACTTCTTCAGGACTGCGAAACGCGCGCTTACGCTACTTTCACGGTAAAGATGACGACGTCGAAGGATCGAAACACGCTCCCGAATTTTTCAACCCAGACGTTAATTAATGGTTTTTAAGGTTTAAATGTTAGGTAATTCTGTAATATCGATACAAGGCCCATAATAGTAGAATGTTAAAATGCTAGAATTGGATACTTGTCTGAACCACTACTTAATATGTGTCTGCSCACTACAGAGGCAAAATTATAATACCAGGTGTATAAATAGTGTCGGCGTTTTCTCAAGTACCAGGAACTATTTTAAAATGGCTTTTAGATAGCCGAAGTATTCCCCATTTACATGGACGGCGGAGACGGGGGGGGGCTTTGCCCCCACCCCCCTTTTTTATGGAGAATTACATTCATTTATTTTGCTTAGGAATAAGAAAAAAAGTTCGCCTCAAAAATGGAGGGGAGGGGAGGACTACAGSCCCCCCCCCCCCCTTCCCCACTTTAAAAACTGTTTCGCCGTCCCTGATTTAGACTGCAATTGAAGATGTAGTAAAAGCGTCTAAAAACTTTTCTTGAGAATTAGTCTTATTATTTACGTTTTAAAACCAGCTGTTGATTATTATTGTATAGCCTAGTTGCATGGCCTATTCGTAAACTTTCATTAAATAGAAAATATTCAATATTAAATATATATATCCCGCACTCCCACATCTAGCTAGTAGACTGGCGTTTTATGAGAAGAAATTGGAGAAGGTGGACAATATACGACTCTACTATTTCAATGTCACAGCACGCAAAGCCCGAATGTCTAGCATACGCCATCCGGTCCGGGTGCTAATAAAGCTTTACACTTGTACTAGGCTCAGTATAAAATGGATTAGTTATAAATGCCAATCATACGCCTCTGGTTAGCGGGACCTAGAAGAATCAATCGCTCTCAAAAATAAAAAAAGATTTAAAAGGCATTAAAGAATTATATGCCCTTAGGGTGATATGGGTTAATTAGGAAATGTTGAGATAAATTTATTGATGAATGACTGTGTTTGATGCGAACAACATCTGAAAGCACATGTTAGCAAGTCGTTTCTCTTATAAACAAAGCTTTTTGCCATTTATATACACATATATATATAAATATATTTCGTAGGCCTGTCACAGGTCATATATAAGATTCTTAAAGAGTTTTGACTTACAAACGTTTGTTTACAAAACGAATCAAATGGCAAACGTGACAATCGATAATTATGCTGATTAAACAAGAGCTGCTCGTATTAATTACTACTGTAACTAAGGCTTACCTTTTTCCTTCCATAAAGTTTTCTGTGTTGATGAAATCTTGCATGGTCATACAACGCGTTGTTGCTTAACGATTCGTCGGCTATTTTATCCTGCGATGCCTTGACACTCGCTCGATTGAAGTATGTCTCTCCTCGGTCTAATTCTTGAACGCAGGTCTGTTCTAATATTGTCTTAAAAGCCTCACTTAGGCTTTGTTTTCCGGGTTCTTGGTCGGTCTTGTATAAGCGATGGCTTGACATTTCTTCTACGAAATCTTTTATAGGAGATATGTTTAGCAGATATAATGATGACAGTTTGAACCAACAAGTGGTTCTTGGTTTACACAAGAACCTTTCCAATACCGGCCTGATCTATGGCATCAATTCACTGATGGAATCAATCAGCAAATTTTAAATATAGAAGATGACCCATGAAAAGTTTTCAATCCCCCAAACTTAAATGTATCATTAAATTTTCAGCTTTTTCTCCGCTCAGCTTCATCGTTGAGGGTTTAGTGGAGATTCGTGTGGAGATTGCTAATATATGCAAAGTGTCAAAATGCTGGTAATTGTCTTCTTATTGTTTTTATTCAAATGATATATTTTATAGCTTGTTGACAATTTACATATGTATGAGATACAGAGACCCTGGGAACACAGGGTGACCACTTGTAGGAAAAGCTCATTTTGAAAACGACTTACCGACAAAAATTAAAAAGATGAAACAAAAACAAAAACAACAACAAACACAACAACAACAAAACTGGAAGACGAAGCCGTGAGAGCAAGAACGAAAAGAGCGAGAAGAACAAGAAGAAGAATGAAAGAAAAAAAGAAGAAAAAACAGAAGAACAAGAAGTAGACTGAGAGGAAGCAAAAGAACCAAAAGAAGACAAAAAAATAAAAAATAAAAAAGCAAGAAAAGGAAGAAGAATTAAAGAACAAGAAAAAAGGATAAAAAAGGATCGCAATAATTCACAAAACGCTTCAGGCTCGCCTGAAACAAAATTCCAGTCTGTTTGTACTACTAGTAGGTATACTTCGACAATTAGCCATATGTTGGTTCATTTTTAGACAATTTCATAACTTTCGGTTCTTGATGGTTATTGACCATTGATACTAATGGTTAATTAACATTTACCATTCTTAGCCACAAAATAAACCAATACCATCTGTGATCATGAAACAAGCCTTTCGACCAACGCGTACGTAGCAATTTTCTAGCCACAAAATTTAATTGGATGGGAATAAATCAGGATTAACTATATACACGATTAACTAAGATAACTCTTATTAGTACGCACTGAGTCGACTTCACTTCGGAGTTAGAGGGCTAGGTCTAAGTTTGTAGCTGTATTCAGATAGATAGATAGATAGAAACTTTATTTACGCTTCAAAAAGATTAAAAAGATTTATTTACGTGTCAAGCTGGAAAGCACGGACGTATGGACGAATGGTCTACAAGGAATTCTATCCTTCTAAAGACTTCCCCTACCAAGGAACGTCTAGTCTGGTCGACAGAATTATCTTCACCTTAATCTTGAAGCTAATCCTCTATTTCGTATCATTGTAAACTTAAATAATGTCCTAAAGGCAAGTAAACTACAAAGTGGCACTTCAGCGAGATCCCGAGCTATTCTAGCCTATTCTTGTACACTAGTTCAAGCGCTTCGAGCGTCTGAGTTCTAGTTTTGAGGTAATCGCTCAAAAACGCAAAGGATTTCTTACATCACTTTCGAGAAACTTTTTAATAGCGCCACCTGCTGAGAAGTCGAGTAGGCGATTAGAATTCCGCGATGGTTCGATTGAAACGACTGTTCGATATGGATTGAAAGTCTAGTGACTTGTCAAAAGCAACTATTTGGTTGGTCCAATATTCTGGTGCCATCCGATTTCAGTAACAGTATAAGGAGGAATTCCTCATGTGTCAAAGTTAGCAGGCGCGCGTGATTGATGACACAAAACCCAACGAACCGGACTCTATACCTGGTTTTGAAGTCACACTTAGATCTGTGGCGGAGAGTCGACAAGATGGGAGCACTAAATATTCCCATTTCTCTAATTTTCGCTATTTTTTGTGCACTTTTAGCAACAAGTGCGGGATATTTAAAAAAAGCGTCCACCGATTGTAAGGCAATCGCTAACCAAGCACCAGCCTCATTTCATGACTTCAAAGCAACTCTCCTCAATGGCACAGAAGTAGAGTTCAGCCAATTTAAAAACAAGGTAGTCCTCGCCGTAAATGTTGCGACCTTTTGACGATTCACGTCGCATTATCTCGAAATGAATGTATTGAAAGAACGTTTTAGCAATGGGACATGTGATTTTGAGATCCTTGCCTTTCCTTGCCATCAGTTCGGACGAGAAGAACCGGGGAAAAGTGAATACGAGATTTTGAATGGTCTGAAGTATGTTCGACCAGGCTATGGTTATGTGCCAAACTTTCCTCTCTTCAATAAGAGTGATGTGAATGGAGTCAACGAAAGTAGCATTTATACCTTCCTTAAGGTGAGGCCATCTGCGTGATGTTACAAAGCGTATCACACGTAAAATTGTTATTGCCATTAATGTTGACATAAAGCAAATATAATGATAATAATAAACATAAGGATAATAGGAGTGAATAACTAATTAACAACAGAGGGAAGTTTTGTTTTATCTTGTAACGCAAGATTAGTTTCAATTTATTTTTGTGAAACTGTTTTTTTTTTTTTTTTTTTTTTTTTTAAAAAAAGGGGTTTTTAGATCCAAGCAAACTACAAGACAACTAGTTAAAATAGTGGATAAGACGTCAATCAAACTAGATAACTCAAATCTATAGTTGAGAATATGTGGACCGCGTAGCACTTATGAAATACATGAAGATATAGAAATATAGAAAAGTTATAGTGCTTGGGAACGAGGTTATTCCGAGCGAAAGCCCTTGGAAATAAATTCGGAAAAATTAATTTCCGACCTCGCTGGGAATCGAACCCACGACCTTCGGAATTGTACTAACGATGCTCTACAAAATATATAGTGCATGGTTTTAATTGACGTACAACGAGATTCCATTTTGACTGCAATTGTGTCTTCATTTCGATCGAACCTACTCGAGGTGTCTTTTGCGACATTTGTTTTTGGTCAGACATTTCCAATTTTTTTTTTTTTGGTTTTATTGTTTTTTTAAACAAGTTTTTTAAAAGAATTTTTTTTCATTCAAATTGTTTTCGTGGTTGATCGGTTCGGATGGAGATCAAGGATACCATGCATCAATATTTAATCAGCTCAACAAGAAAAATTGCGCTATAAAGTCAATCGTTTTTCCAAGAGTCTTTCATGGTCTCGTCTTCCCTTCAAGATTTTTTTCGTATGCTTTATTTCACACGTTTTAGATATTTATTATTAATTTAAAAGAAATTATCGTATTTGAATTTTCGCTTAACTTTCTCACCACACAAAAATATTATTTTTGTTTTTCTATTACTTGGATTTTTTTGATATTCGTTTTTAGTAATTTAAAAGAATTTTTCACTGGTCAACTGACGTTTCACGTTTGCCGTGAACGTAAATCCAAAACTCTCTAATTTGACGTCGCGACAAAATAGGGTTTTGGTGGACATCAAATCAAAGTGTTTCCATGACATTGTTGAAAAAAAACACAAAGTTTCAGCAAGAGCACGTATATATGAAAATGTCATGTGAAACGCCTTGATTGACGTCCACCAACATTTACCGGCGCGCAATCGTGACGGCTATATAATACTACCTTTCACAATTTACCTGTGCCATCTCGAAAGGTAGCTGTGCCTTTGCATGGAAGCGAGATGAACGGTGAGCTTGCAATGATAGAGACATCAGTGTAAATAATTGTCCAAGGTGTTAAAAAAGGTCTCTATCATTGCAAGCTCACCGTTTGCCTCTCTTCGCGCGATCGATGCAAAGGCACGGCTAACTTTCAAGATGGCGCAGGGAACTGTGAAATTCGCATGTTTGGGAAAAYTTATGGTTTTCAACCATTCCCAAGAGAATTAAATGACAAGACACGGCGGCCATGTTGGAGGATATAACAAAAGAATTCATTGACAATTCTTTTAAGTTCCTCCAACATGGCCGCCGTGAAAACCATCAATAGGTTTTTGATATGATTTCWTTATTTTCTTTTTCAAACAGAATCGATGTCCCGCTCCAGATAACTTCATAACGGATGACACCTCTCTCATTTTCTGGTCACCAATTCGTAACAACGACATTAGCTGGAATTTTGAGAAAATTTTGATCGATCATCGAGGTCAGCCGTTCCGTCGCTACTCGTCACCTACAACGCCTATGGAGCTGGAGGCTGATGTACAAAGCCTAATGTTTCTTTGTAGACAGGCAATGACCGGTGAAAATCGACCCCAAAGTCAACAATACTGGTACTAATTTAACGYAACATCTATTGATGAAGGGATGCGCCAACATGGCCTTGATGTTCAACCCTCTATTAGATATTATGTTAATTTTGCTGCATTCGTGAAAAAACATTGCTCGTTCATCACAGAATGGACTACTTTGACGATAGGGTAGCCATCTTGCCAGGGGGTAAAACGAAACAAAGATGACAGAAAATATAGAGTTTTGTGTGTTTGTCTTTGGGAAGGTGATCGATGTGCCATGTTGATTCATCTTTGTTGAGTTCTCTTGTGGTGAGCTGTTAATATCAATCGGCGTCATTACCCTCATTACTATAACAAAGCTTTATTTTCCCCTGAACGCCCTATAATCTTTTTCGATCCAAGATGGCCCTCGTATCGTCGAAGTGGTCCATTCTTCGTTCGCAGTCATTCCTAAGAAACAATAAAAAGCCGCAATGTTGATTGAAGTAARAAAAGAAAGTAACGATAGACATTTTGACAGTCTGAAATCAAAAAGAAAATAGCTGTCTGATTGGCTAAACAAATACTTATKGCTTATCCAATCAGAAAGCTGGAGAGTAATTTAAACCAATAGAATACAGCACCATCATCATCATCGTTACGAAATTAAATAGAGACACTATTATTGGTAAAAAAACACATGGAAACGTTAACCTATTGTAAGCGCGTAACTTATAACGCCACATCTAGCGAATATTTAGTCTCCAATATAGGTGTATGACGAGCTGATCATAAACCGGTTTTTCTGGTCGGTTGGCTCTGAGGTGAGATCCAAGACATCCTTGGTCTTCAATACATTCAACCAAGTTTGACAAAGGGTCAATSATATGTTGAGACTGAAATTCGTTGGATGTCGTTATGATTTGCGAAGTATAGGCTTAAAATAATAACAATAAAATAAAATAATCAAGAAAACGAGTTCGTGTGTCTTTCATGATAATCATCAATGCATTTCTTGAAAATATATCGAATTTATATCCTGATTGACCTAGAAAAGGCGATTAAATGTATGCAGGAGAAATAAGCACTATGAATGAGCTATAAATGTTYTTGACAATTAAAAGGCGGGGTGGAGGGAGGGGGATAAGGTAAATGTTAAGAGGGTCTAATTAACTCTCGTTCGGCKTTTGCAAACGGAGCGAGATTGTAGTCTATATACTTATTTCTGAGCTTTGTCAGTTGGAATGACACAGAGTCATTAACAAGCAGAACCCCACTGCCCTCWATKAAGTTCTATCAAATCCTGATCGACTTGCAAGAATATCAAAGATGSCACCGARAGCACTCATTATTCGCTGAGGTTAGCGATCATACATGATACATAGAGTCACTAACAAGCAGAACCCCACTGCCCTCTATGACGTTCTGTCAAATCCTGATCGACTTGCAAGAATATCAAAGATGGCACCGAGAGCACTCATTATTTGCTGAGGTTAGCGATCATACATGATACATAGAGTCACTAACAAGCAGAACCCCACTGCCCTCTATGACGTTCTGTCAAATCCTGATCGACTTGCAAGAATATCAAAGATGGCACCGGGGGCAGTAAAATTTGCAAACTTCTTCCCTTTCAAATTTGGGTAGAAACCTATCTTCCTGATTGCTTCAATCTAAAGCATTCATTTTCTTTTGAAAGGCTCTTTTTTCCTTTTCAATGCTGATTGGCTCCCGATCTATCGTTGAGCCAACGGATTCAGCAAGTTKTTGCAAATCGTCCCAAGTACAAGCATTCTTTTCATCATTCACGCAGGTTCTGTTATCGTGATGCGTGGCTATTTTGATAGGTTCACTGTCGTCTATCTCTTGTATCAAASGCCTTCTATTTGGTAACAATGGTTCATCGATTTCTTCTATTAAAGGCTGTAAAAAAATATGAACAATGAGCTCCTTAAGAAACAAGCAAGCGACTGTGATCTAGTTTTTGAAATCTACTCTGATTGCACAAATTATTATATTATTATTTATTATTATTATATTTTGCCAGGGCTCCCATTGATAGCAGAGTTTTAATTAGCTCTGAAGGGACTACCCTGGCTTTATTTACTTAGTTCATTTTAAATAAATTTATTTACTTCATTTCATTTTAAATAAATAAATAAATGAATGAATAATAGCCTTAGATGTTTATTTGTGAGTTTAAAAAAAAGCCCGCCATGGGGGCAGGAAATGAAAAGTGTTGCTTTTGAATCACCGCGCCACCTTCAAGAGTGGTTTCCCACTTGCCTCTCACCGCTATGGTCCGGGTTTGAGCATAGGCTCAGACTGGATCATATGTGAGTCGAGTTTGTTTGAYGTATTGTTCTCTTCCTTGCCACGAGGGTTTTCTCCTGGTTCTMCAGTTTGCTTMATCCGCAAAAATCAGCATGTCAGTTGAGTTTCATATGTTGTAAATATAGAATGTAGTGGTAGTGCGTGTGGAGGGAACCTCACGGAAGAGCCCCGTWCGGGGAGTGGTGGTTGYAAAATAATTTGTTTTAATAAKTATAAAAATAGCACAGTTGTTAAGAGGAGTAATAACTGTCTAGTCATTTACCTTCTTTGTTGTGTTGGCATTAAACGATTCAATAAACAATGGATCATTAACGTCTACATCCTCGAGAGTTGGGAGATCCTGTCAAGAAAACAACCTTTGTCASTTAGGAAGACGAACGATTTTTGGATCACAAGTATGGCTATAAATAAGTCCTTTACATGACATTATACAARAGACTTTTAGTTCCGACGACGAGTACGAGAACGAGTTTTTAACTTTAAAAATGACACTGTCATTTCGTAGTCTTGGTCCTGTACATGGATTAAAACCTTAAGATAAAAAATCGGCAATCGAAATCGACTCTGTGTTAGCTACGCGAAACCCAAGGTCCCTTGGACAATGCTTTACTTCAGCCCCACAATGCACTGCGATGCCAACTCCACCCAGTTTTTCCCTCAAGCTCGGAATGATTAATCAGAGTGGGAGAGGGGGTTGGTAAAGTTGGCCACTAGACCTTTTTCAAATACGCTCTTTTAAACACACTATTAACTTTGCATGCAGTCATAATAAAATATAAAGCATTCTGGATTTGAGTGTAATATCTAACATATCTACCTCATTGTCAAGGTCCCTTGCTGCCATGGGTGCCTGTCTTGTTTGTTTGTTTTCACTTAAGTGAATCGTCTCTATATCGTCTGCACAATAACAAAAGTAAGAATTATAAAAAGTACCATTAAACAATACTCTCAATCCTATTTCTATTACTATCACCACTGCCTGCCCATCCACCCACCACCATCACCACCATCDCTGCCCACCTACCCCGCCACTTGTATACATCTCCGCCATAACCACTGTCCCACCTACCACTATGCATCACCACCATCACTATACATCCTCACACCCCAATCACCACTGCATCAGTTACCTACTCATCACTGTCCCACCACAAATGAATTCTCACACCCAGCCACCCTCAACTGTATAGCACCAACATCTCTAGTGCCCAACTAACCCCAGTTCAAAGCCATTCTTGTAAGAACATGAACACTAACTCTCTAGTTATAGCATCCACCTACCATTGATCTCAGTGATCAGGACTCTATCTGATGGTGTATCACTAGTTGGYTCGTTAACATCTAGAGAAGAATGGATGACAAGTTAATTCAAAGTTCCTACTCGGATAATAGCGAACCAATAACCATTGCAGCAGTTTTTCCAGTGAAATTAAAATCTTGTCCCACAAMCAACTACACAGTATCTGTTTTAAAGAGTACTACAAGGACTACGAGGCAATTTTATTATATTTTCTCAGGACATGAAACGATTGAAGCAATTTATGATTTATTTTCTGYGATAATCAGGGTTTTAAATTCTGAGATATTCTAGCTTATTTATTGAGCTTGTGGAACATAGCAACGGTAACTAAGGGGAGGCGAAACTATGAATCACCTTACCTACTGAATTTAATAAAAGTGAATATACAATAGATAGAAAACATCAAAACAAAATACAATATTTCAGTCAACATTTTTGGCATGGAATAACTTAGTATGGGTTGGAGGACAGGAGTGGCAGAATAAAAGGCGATGTGCCCCTAATAAAGTACGATACTTGTTTAAGGAAAAAGGATGCTTCCTTACCTCTTAGCATATCAGTAATCAAAGAAGCATGTGATTGTCCCTGACGGCTTGAGCCACCACTAAATATACTAGAGCTGCTGTTTCTTGATCCAATGGTAATAGTCTCCATTTCCTCATCCTGATGTCTAGCCGCCTGAAATGGAGTATGCGCATCAGGCTTCTCATCTGATGAACTGATAGGATTATCCATGTGGGATGTGGATGGCTCGAAAGGTTCGTTATCTTTATTGTCCGAGTTATCTTCAGTGTCACTGTTAGAAACGTCCGATAGGCTCTGAAGGAGAAACAATTCGTTATTTTTGAGTAAATAGCTGTTGTTCATGAAGCCGAAAACCTGGAACTAGAAAATATTAAGCTTCAAACAAAATGTTCGCTGATTGGATAATTCGGGCTGAGAGGAGCTCGCCCCATGTAAGGGAATCCGGACTTATGGTGGATTCCGGATTCCAAGCGCTGGATTCCGGATTCCGAGACTCTGGATTACGGATTCCAAGGGTCTGGATTCTGGATTCCAAAAATCTTGTATTGCGGATTTCGGATTCCATATCGTTAATTTTCAGATACTTTCTCTGAAAATTATATTTGATATACTTGCCAGTATAAGTAGAATCGTCTATCAATTAAATCAGCATCTGATGACAGATATTCTTGGTGGAGATATTACACAGTGGGGGAGGGGCTACATCGGTTCAGTCTAGGTCAAGGCGATAGCATTTGAGTGTATACTTTGAACTTCAAAGTAGCGGATTCCGGATTCGAAAAGGGTGGATCCGGATTCCATTATAAACTGGATTCCAGATTCCAAGGCCTGGATTCCGGATTCCAGAGTGCTGGATTCCGGATTCCAAAGCCTAAAATTTCGTGGACTCCRGATTCCGGATTCCCTTACATGGGGCGAAGAAGCGATATCGTCTGATTGCGCCTCTGACTATACAGTACCTCATTCTCATCGTCTTGTTTAGCATCACCTTGCTTTTCTAGTTTTCTTCTTTCAGCTTCTTCGCGTATTCTTGATAAATCTTAATAGAAAACAAACACAATCAAGAARTGCGACTGGTCAGGAAAGGGTGGTTAGTAAGTAAGGCCGTTTACAGGTATCCAGATATTTTTGAAAAGAGAAAATTTTTAATACCGTTGTCAAAAAAAATCGAGTTCCACAGGTAGCATTTTGCGGAATCGTTTTCGCAAATCCACACCTATCCGTTTTAGGAAAATTGCCTTTTCAAGTGTCATATTCACCGGATACGTGTGAACAGAAAGCCAATCSGCAAACAAMAAAAAAAAATCCGTTTCTCACAAAAAACGCAATTCGCGACGAGGTCTAAAAGATTTAGATACAAGTACACACAAAGAATGGATAAAGATTAAACTTACTATTTACACTGTCCATGATTTTCTGGTGTTCTTTATTTATCCATCTCTCTCTCTCTAACCGTTCAGCTTCAACTCCGCCTTCAGCCCTRTAAAAAATCACAATAACGTAAGTAATAAGGAAAACGTRAAACGTCAGTTGACCAGTGAAAAAATATTTAAAATTAGTGAAATGAAATCGCAAAAATTTCCAAGTGGTAGACAAACAAAAGAATACTATCGTTTTGTGAGAAGGTTTACAAAAGATAAAGTGAAATGTAGGGAAACGATGAAAACGTGGTCACGTTGCCGTTTGCGGGAAGGAAAAACGGGAATCTTAATCTGTCTAATATCTTATTGAATTTATTATTATTTACATTTTATAAAAGAATTTGTTACTGGTCGACTGAAGTTTTGCGTTTGTCGTAAACGAGATTTTCAAACTCTCTATTTTTTCTTCCCGCAAACAGCACGTGGGCGGACTTTCCATTTCGTGCTGTGTGAAGTCATAAAGCAGTATTCAAAATACAGACACTTACCATGCTTCTGCGCATGCTCGTTCCCGTGGAAACACAGGTCGGTCGTCTAGATACCTGAGATTCTTCTAAAAAAATACATTAAAGAAGAATAAGAAAGTTTATTCAAAAAAGATCTAAATATATAAACGAACTGAAGATGTCTTAAAGCGATGTAAMACATACATGTAATAACATTTTCTCCAGCAAACCACACCATCACACCGAACTCCAGGTTTTCACAGTTTCAACACAATGAAGTTTTTTGCTCTTATCACTGAAAAATTAGACACTTTTCTGTTTCTCTTCTACCGAGTGCAAGGGAATGCTCTTTCAACCCTACATTTCATCCATTTTTTTGTAAACACAGCGAACACCCAGCTCCTTCATAGCAATAGATCTTTTTAGCTTGGGCGTAATGTTTTCTCATTTCAGACAATGTGTCATTTCCTTGAGTATATCATTTCTTCGTTTACTAGGTCCCAGTTGTACGAAGCCTGGATAGCGCTATCCAAYGRATAAATCTTATCCAGTGGATAAATATATTGGATAACAGCATTGATTTATCCACTGGATGACRACTTATCCACTGGATAAGGATTTATCTGCCAGATAGCGATATCCAGGCTTCGTACAACAGGGCCCAGTTGAGAATGAGAAAACACATKAATATATTGGATAMAACTCAAACAAAGAATCTTATTCTCAAGAGAATGACACTTGGTTTGAAATGAGAAAATACTACACCCAAGGTAAAGAGGTCTATATTCTTAATAGGATAGTTTAGAAAATTATGCAGTAAAAGTACTGCAGGAGTTCTRTAATGCTTTTACCCTGTAAAGTAGCTTTGAGTGCTATAATCGCAGAGAAGAAACATTTGGTAACTTTGTTATATCAGACACAAGAATGACATAGCAATCAATGTTCACCATGGTAACATATTCATTTTTTCTTACTATTTTCAGGATCATGTTTTTTCTGTAATTCTTGATCTTCTTTATTACTGGGTTTCCAATCAAATTGAGCACATGCTGAAAGACAATTAAACCAAATAACAAATTCAGTTAGATTTTCAAATATAATATGCATAATATATTATGTGTATAATATTACTTCCTTATTATGAGCATAGTTACATTAGTATATGTAATAGGACTTCATRCTGTCCAATTAAGAAATAAATGGATGAGGAAAATTCCAAGGACTTCCAAAATTGGATGAGGCCATAGGCYGAGTCCAATTTGGCAGTCAGAGGAATTTTTTGAGTCTAATTATTTCTTGATTGGGGAGCATGAAATCCCATTACCTATTAATTATATAGCTGCCTAATTAATCCCATATCAACAAGACCTGTCCAATTAAGAAAATAATTGGACAGTTACATGTGCCTATATGGGATTAATGAAAAGCTGTATAATTAACTATGTTTTGAGAATGTCATAAGGGGATTACTAAGGTGTTACCCTTGCAAAATGATCCTAGGATTTCCTAGAGAATAGGTTTGTCGTGAAAAGCAACAACACAGGGATAGCAGAGAATGTTTTTAAGTGGAAGGTGGGGTAAGGGTCTATAATTTTTTTAAACAGAGATCAAATTAAAACAAAATAATGTTTCATTCTTCTTGTAAAAAGTGACTTCCAAACCCCACCAGCTCAGGCATCCTTGCAAGCCTATACTCACCAAGTTAGGCATTTCTGCAAACACATCAATGACATCAGGGTCATCAATCTTGTTATAGGAAAGGTCAACRACACTATGCAAAAATAATATATATGTATATATATTAACAGAGAGCCTTCCTAAAAAAAATATGAACTATATAATAGCTATGATGGAATATCATAATCTCAAACAAGATCAGCACCACAGAAGCCCTGACTGTTGGTYGTTTGATGGCAATTTCTCAATCTTTTCGTGTTAAGTTATCAGTTGTTCTAAGGCCATTTGTTGACTGTTCATTGGGCATTAATTTCCATTAGATGGCATGACAAGAGTCAGTCATTTCCTCTGGCAACTTAAAGGTGAAATGGATGTGACTGAATAAACTGGGAGTAATCAGCTGGGACATTGRCTGTGCATCTGAGGCTCTGTTTTCAGGTTTTCCCATTTCAGRGATATACTGTAATATTAATTGTAGGGAGTATCTAAAAAGTACCTCAAATTCTGGCAGTGAACAAGCTCTTTGATGTCCTCTGCAGTAGTTAACTTGTTGTGTGCTATTTGCAGAGTGTTGAGTTTAGGAAGAACGCCTGGTAAAATTTAACATAACAAATAAGTTCATAAGATAAAAAGAAGTTCAGTTCATAAAATGAATAAATATCAGTGTTCTACCATACCCCACCCTTCCCTTATTGTGTTTTTMCACTTACCAATATTTTCAATCTTTGTTATAATGTTATTACTAACATTTAATGTGTCCAAGACTTGCAATTTTTCAAGGTTCTCTAATTTCTTAATTACATTTTGCTGTAGATACCTGCAYACATTAATATTAAGTCACAAAAAAATCAGATCATTGAACAAAATAGTTTGCTTTAGGTCAGACGACTGAGTTTATGAATTTGTAAACATACACTGTAGGGAACGGTCCGACAGAAAAACTTGCAAATATACAACAAAAATATCTTTGCTGCAATTTGAATATACATATACAGTATATAGTTAACATCCAATGTGCAAAACTTTCAAATTTTTTTGACCCCTGTTAAAATCTCTCAGATGTTTTAAAGCAGGGCRCACAGCTAAATTGCTCACTAAATTTATCTAACCGAGTTTTTGTTTGGTTTTGCAAGTAAAGAAAACCAGAGTGCTATGCAAGGAATACTGCATTAGACAGTGAATTAATCTTATTCAAATCATTCCTCATGAGGTTGGACCCATATGAGATGTATTTCTTTAGATTTTTGTCACGAATCTCCCATATCCCATTAGTTGGGTGATAAAGGCCCAAACAGATGATGCAATGTTGTCTGCGATATTGCTTGCAACAGGGAGCTGTTACTTGTTTTCACTTCTGCAACAATTGCTGGTGAGGTCGTACACAACAGTTGTACAGGATGTGGACACATGGAGTGATTTTACCTTTGTCCTTGTGCAATGTCACCAGCGATATATATATATATATATTTTTTTTGCCTTATCTTTTTATTTTTTATTTTTACAATATTTTTTTACAACATTTATAATTATTACTTGAAAACAATAGAAAACAATTTCAATGAGGGTCGTCTAATTTACAATGCTACTAACAACAACTAACAACTAACACCAGCGATATTGTATGTAACAGCTGGATGGTGCACACATGGTAAAATTTCCCAGTTGCAAACAATGTCGCATTATGTGTATATGGGAATATATATGAAATATATATATTGCATTGTATGTCTAAGCCTTTACTGTACTTACAAACTTCGTAGTTCGGTTAGGTGGTCCAGATTTTCAATCTTATCAATACCATTACTCTCTAGCCACAGACATTTTAGCCCTGTGTACTCTTCTAGATTTTCAATTTTCACAAAACCTGTACAAAATATTTATAGTCGATTTATAGTCACCATGAGTATTATGTGGAAAAAAAGTTTTAGAGAAGGGAGAAAAACTTGAAAGAACTTACAAATGGACATCCCGTTAATGCCGTTCAATTTGAATTCTAATCTAATAAAATCTTTCAATATCTTGTCTAATAACTTTCGTACAGACCTCTAAAGTGAAGGTACAAGACATCGTTCAGACGAGGAGTAGAGTACAACTTCTTTTCCTTACAAATTTTCTTCAGTGATTCTTTTGTCATTCTGTAAGAAAATCATGCGAAAAGAACATTAGCACTGCTTCATATTTAGGTTTTTGGTTTTAATTTGGTTTTGGAAAAAGGTTTAACCAAGAAAAATTGGTTGGTTTGAAGTATATTTTATGCAAGACCGATTGTCGGTCACAACAGCTGATGAACGAATAGCATAAAACCTTATTTCTTMTCAATAAAAGTGGCATTATACCTTGGATAATCATTCTCCTTATCTTCCTTTTGCTTGTTARTTGAATCTTCCGGCATATTTGCGATAAAATTCTGTATATTTTAAGCGAAAATGCTCGTGTTTTCTTCCACAAATCCTTCCTGGTTTCCAAAATGGCGCTTACKTTTCAACATAGCAACCATTGTTGTAATACATAGCAACCAAAATGGTCCTTCCCAGTCCCACGCGTAGGTTTGTTTTCTTCACGGGCTTCCTGTGTAATAGTTATTTGAAGACTGAGAAAAAGGGAAAAACTGAAARAAGGAACAAAAACAAAACAAAAAGAATGACAGAGGAGATAATAAGTTTGCTTTTTGCAAGGGCTTCCTGTGTACTCTCATTTCAACTGTGAAAAAAAAAAAAAGAAAGAAAGGAAAGATGAAAGGGAGAAAGGTGAAAAAGAACGCAAAAAAGGTTAGCACGTCTATTTAACGCAGGCTTCCTATGTGCAGGTCATTTTGATAGCACAATAAAAAGAAAGAAAAGRCAATAAAAAAAGGTAAAGAAAATGTCGTAGCAGAGGGATTGGAGAGGATAGGGCTTAATGGGGCTGTAATATTATTAACTATAGGTTAGAGTGAAGGCATATAACCCGTTAAATAAAAAATACTAGTCAACATGCATGTAATAGTCAAATAGACACAAAAGAAGACAATGGAATCAGGGTCTACTAATTTGTATTAGTCTAATATCTATTTCACGGGTTTAGTGACTTCACTCTAATCAAGTCTTTAACATTTGGTGGAATATAGGTTTTGTCATCTTTTACTAGCCCCAGAAAGTAATTATTTTGTCATAGGTGGAGAATTTTACAACATATAACACTCAACTTACTTGTTTATTTTTGGGGAGGGTAAGAATATATGGAAAACWGGAGAAAACTTCTCATGGAAAGAGAGAGAACAAACACATCAAACAAACTAAATTCACACATCATATGTGGTTCAGTTGAACTACACGATGGTGCGAGAGACACCASTTTACCTATTATTCTATTGCTATTTATTGTAAGCATATTTACAATTTATTTTTAAAATGGCACTATAATTTAATTATTGTAAAAAATTAAAAATAATATTGTTTACAATGCAACAAAACTATTACCTTGGGTTCTAGAGGTTCTAATTCACTCTGGGTATGTCCAGACAACTTCACATCAAAATAGCAAATGTCAGAGTGAGAAAAGATACATCTGGACCCCAGAGTACRAAATAAAACTATTACTTTACAAATTATAATTCTATGATGATTAGATTTTACTTTGTGCTGTAGTATTCAAGAGATTGTTTGATTTCTTTTTTAGCAGCTTATATATGAAGGCATGATTTTATGTCCCTTAGTCTGCAACAGCAGCCTTTAAAAGGTAGCTAGGGTATTTTTATCATTCAGTTTTGGTATAAAAATTGGCTATTTACATAAGGCTGCATTCATACTGTATGGCAGAGGAAAGGGGGGGGGAGGATAAAATTTAGGGAGGATTGGAAAAATTTTTACCAGTAAGATAGGGGGGTTTAAAAAAAAAGCTACAAGAGATTGTTGGGGGACTTCAAGGGAGGTCTTAAGAATTTTTTTGTCATTTAAAGATTTCACCTGTCCCCCCCCCCCTGCCATACATAATGAACGCAGCCTAATTAAGTTATCAATGAAATGACAACAAAACTTATGCATGCATCTGCAAAAATGTATGGATTCTCAAGAATTTCATAATACCTATAATTTTATAGCTACTAATTTTAAACTTTTAGCTAYAAATTGTCAAGCTATAAGCTCATAAAAATTTATCATATTTATGATAGCTTTGTGCAATATTTTGGCCCAAGATAGAGGGAGAAGAGTACCCTGCATGCCAGAGGCCGTGTGGGACTTGGGGGTGAGAGAGAGAGGGAGGGAGAGGCCCCCTCCTCCCTCTCTCTTACCCCCAAGCCCCACACGGCCTCTGGCACCCAGGGTAGGAGAAGAGTATAGGGAAAAGAAAACAGGAGAAGAGGAGATATTGGAGAAAATGAGAGGGAGAAAAAAGAAAGGAGGATTGATCTCTTCTATACCTCTCCTTCATTCCCATTTTTTCAAGTGCTCCCTTCCTATTTTCTTGTTGCCAAATAAAAAGAACTAGACAAAACATTTCTGTAGGACAGGAATAATGAAATATATGTACATTCATGACAAGATATTTCATTTCCCATTTGCCCTTTAACATCAATGCTATAAAACCTAGGGCAAGATTGACAGGAAAAATGGGTCGAGTCGTCATTGCAGAATGTCCATTGATGGACTGTATTAAGGGGGGGTGGGGGAGAATACACACCTCAACCTTTGAATGGTGAGTAAATGTAAGGTATACTTAATGACAGCATTTTCTGCCAGAATTACCCCCCTTACTAGAAGCAGCATTTGATGCCTCCAATTCTATGCCAGAGGATTTTCTGAGATACTGTTTTGCTGTAGCCTGGTCTTTCAATGGCAGACAGTTTTCTAAAATATATTGAAACACTTTGTCAACATTGTGCCCTGTCTTGGAGCTTGTCTCAAAGAATGGAATTTCAGTTAAACTTTCTAGTGGTCGATGCTTGTTTTCATTCTGTCTTTTAGCCAGTTCTTGGCCAGCTTCTTTGCTAACTCCTCTGTTTTCCTTCGTAACTAAATCTAATTTAGTYCCCACTATGACAACAAGACAGTTTGGTTCTGCTGTTTGTAGAAGATGCAAATGTCTATTTTGTAAAACACTGAAGGATTGTCCATCAGYAATGTCATAGGCTATTATTGCAGCTGCAGCCCCTCGGCAATAAAACGAAGACAGCCCAGAATACTTCTCTTCCCCAGCTGTATCCTAAGATCCAAAAATTAGGTCATTAAAGATGAGTATTTTGAATTCAAATTCATCTTGTACTGTACTTATGCCAAGAAGGAATTAAGGAGCATGGGTGGCATTCACTGCTACCAAGTAATGCACAATAATCTCTAAAGAAATCTTCCCTTCGGGAATGGGGGGGGGGATAGCACTTAATGGCGAGTAGCTACCAAAACCTGTGGCCCTCCTTCAAGTATAGAATTGGAATTTAGAATTTGATTTTTGTTGGAGGAAAATTAAGACAGGAGACTTGGATAATTTAACCTCTTCAAGCACAGGAAAGAACCAAGCAACTCTACTCACATGACACCAAGTCTAGCAGTCACCCGGGTCACCTTGGTTAGAGTCGAACGTTCTCATTTCTTTGCACCCATGAATTCTATTCTCTCACAATGTTGTTGTTGACTTACCCATATAGCTACATTATAAGGTCCCCATTGCTTCAGGAAAAATGATGCTCCTATTGTCTATAAGTA